CCATGCGCTACCACACCCGGCTGATTTTTTTTTTTTTGATTTATTGACCCGCCTGGGCAGCGAGACCTCATCTCTACAATTTTTTTTTTTTAATGTTCCGCTCATGAGGCACCCATTTATGGAGCTTTTTCACCTGTCCAATTTGCTTCAAATGCTGAATGACCATAGAATGATTAGCATTGAGTTCTTCGGCAACTTCTCGTATAGTTGTAAAAGTATCAGCTTCAATGATTGCTCTCATTTGGCTGTTATCAGCTTCCTATGGCCAGCCACGATGCTCCTCATTCCTCATTTTCAATGCTCCTGTCTCCTTGCAAAAGGAGTGGTAGTCTTCTTGAACTACCACCGCACTGTATGTTCATTAGCAGTTTCTGGCTAAATGTGTTGTTGATATTACAAGTTGTCTTCACTACTTTACAACCCATTTTGAACTCAAAAAAATCATTCCAACTTGCTTTTTGTCTAACATCATTTCTATAGTCTAAAATAAATATAAAATAAACAGCAAGTAATAAGTCATTAGCAAAAGAAAGATCAATGTGTATTAAAATGACATATAACATCACCACATTTATTTAAGAATGTATTCCAATATCAAACAGCAAATATCAGCCATGCAAAAACCGCAATTACTTTTGCACCAACTTAGTAGAAATATCACATTGTAGTAGGTAGTCTCCTTAGAATTGAGAGACCCCCCCCAAACTACAAAAATATATCTCTGACCTAAATAATCATTTACCTGCCAACCACAAATGCTGTGGTTTGCCTGACCTGAAGCCTTAAGGCCTCTTTCAAAAGCAGTATTTAAAATGAGCTTGGAGAAACTGAGAATTGTAATGCTATTGGGGAATATGGGAAATTGATTTTCTATTTTTTTCTTAATTTTATCTGATTATGGGCATCTGTATGAACTTATCTATGAAGCTATGAAAATACCTTAATAAATCTTACTGTGTTTTTTTCATGCAGTACAACTATGGATGTTGGAGCTGTAGGAGACCTTAGACGAATTAAAAATGCTATTGGTGTGGCACGGAAAGTACTGGAACATACAACACACACACTTCTAGCAGGAGAGTCGGGTATTTTTAACTATAGAAATTTTTTCTGGTCTTCTGTATGTAGTTTTCACTGTGAAAAATAGGACTCAGCATAAAATAGTGGATAAAAGCAGACCTAAGTTCAAATTCCAGCTGTTTTAGTTAATATCTGTTTAAGTGGATAAGTTACTTCTAAATCTCACTACTTTCATCTTTAAGATAAGAAGGGAATGGAAGAAGTTTTGCTGTGGCAAGTGTCAATTATTTGAACACATTGCAGGTTATATACCAAAAATTATACAGTGACTTGTAATCAGAAATTATTATTGTTAGTGATATATTATCTAATAACTCTAGTAGACTTCCTACGATTATGGAGAGTGGACAGAAACTACCTGACAGTTAAAAGATCTGTTGCCCATTCACTGGAATTCAGTTGTTCGCTTGGTGTCAGAGTTTTTTACCCCCTGGGTGTTGTACTCCAGTTAGAGCAATGAGATTCATTTTGGGGGAGAGGTGTGCCTTTTCCTTTGCAAAATGGAAGGAGGAGGATTTTGGAGGTGAAGTAGCAAGGGAGACCTGTCATCACACACTCTCCAACGATCTGAAGCAGATGAGTTTTAGGAAGGACATATGGACATTGGAGGTCTAGAAATTGATGCCCTTAAAACTGCTCATGTCTGAGTGCTTCTTTGAAAGTCATTGTATACTGCACTTAAGACACAGCTGACCTAGAACATCTCCAATACAAATACTTTATGACTAATTTACACTTTTCCCCCCCAAACTCCAGCCACCAAGTTTGCTGAAAGTATGGGGTTTATCAGTGAGGATTTATCTACCAATGCGTCTCGAGCTCTTCATTCAGATTGGCTTGCTCGGAATTGTCAGCCAAATTGTTGGAGGGTATGTATATATATTTAATTTTAAAAAGTAAATTATTTGAAAATATAGCTTATTTATACTTCTAAATAATGATATTCCTTATGTTCGCTGTTTCCTACCTGTTGCCTAGAGTGCTGGTTAGCATCCTGGCTGCACATTAGAACCAACAGTTTAAGTTAACTGTGGGCCTATGGGTACCTGAAAGTTCCCTGGCTACATTTGCAGCACGTCCAGGGTAGAGAAATACTGGCCTCTGGGAATAGTTTTCAAACTGTGAAAGTTCTGCTTTGAGGGGGTAGGAGTTGACTAACCCAATCTGCTTGTATTTCCTTATAACAAAGTCTAAAAAAGTTGAAGTTTGGAAACCATTAGACTAAAAAGTTTCATAGATTGTATTTATAAGGGGGAGACCTCCCTGCCCAAAGAAAAGCCCCAGGGAGGAGTGGGCGACAAGATGGCGACCGGGCAAACCGGTGTCTGAAGCCCTCTACAAGGGAAATCTGCAGTGGGTCTCTGACTCTCGCCCCGGGAGGCTGGGGACCCCAGCATTGCAGCCTGCTCTTCAGACAGAGCTCGGCCATCACTATCGCTGGAACATCGCAAGGACTGGACAGTTTTACTGCATTGCACTGTCCCGTGGCTGCCGCAGCCCCTCCCCCCACCAGCGCTCCCGCCGCCGCCGCGGCCTCTGGCACGGGTAGCTCATCACAACCCGGCCGGAGGAGATCCACACCAAACCGCTTCAGGAAAGATCTGCTGGGATCGCTGCCACCGCTCCTGCGTCCGAGACTGTCCTGTCCGCCGGGCGTGGGGATCCGGTTGCCTGCTCGGAGGCAGGCAGCCATCTTGTTCCTGTCTGGCCCCACCCCCTCTGGGGCAAGCAGCTGAGATAGCACCACCTGCTGGCGATTCAAGGTAACAACACCGAAACGGGAGAAGCAAGCTTGATAAAGACATAGACCAAACTTCTGAACCGAGGTTATTCTGAACTGTCCTTCACAGCAGATCAGGGGAACTGACCCTAACTGCAAACTAATTTACCAGCTTGAAAAGAAAACTAGAAATCAGACCTGAAAGGACATTGGACCTAAACGAAATGTCACAGAGTGTGCTTCATTGATTCTATTAGTTTAATGACTTAATTCTATTCCTACTCTATTGTTCCCTTTTTTCTCTTTTCCTTTTCCTTTTCTTCTCTTTTATTCTGTCTGTAAACCATGTCTTTGTATAGAGGAACAGCACACTAATAAGGTGGTTGGATAGCTGGTATGTTAGCATCACTATATGTTTTATTTTTGTTTGTATGAGAGTTGGTTCGACTGTAGCTGTGGTCTATTGTTTTTATCTGTTTCAGTATAGGCCTCTCTCTCTATTTGTTGGCACACTCGTTTGTTTCCCCCTTTACTCCTCTATCTCTCCACTCCCCTCTTCAACCCACTATCTGCTCCATTCTCTCCCCTCTGCTAACCACATTTTATTTCAGGGAGTAAACCTACAGCCCCACTGCCCTGGAAAGACTCCAGGGCAGTGGGAAGTGGGTTCCACATTATCCACACGCCTGTCAGCGAATACCAGTACCTGCAGACAGATTTTGAATCACAGCTCTCCCCTTAAGTACATCTCAAAACTGCAAAAAGGACCACCTCCAACCTACAGTGCAACTCCAGAATTGAACAAAGTAAGAGGACATACATAAAGAATAGGAGATTGAACAAACAGAAGTAAAGCCAATCCCTTTACCCCTGAATAACAGAATTAAAGAAGACGGTGACGTGGAGGGAAGGAAAAAGTAAGGAGGGGGAAAAACCGCACAAATGAAGAAAAACCAAAAGAAGAATATAGGTCTTACACAGACCCCTGGGAGATCAGACAATGAGAAAACAGATTCTGGAACACAGACAATGAAGAGTCCCCAGAATGACTGGCTACATGCAACAAACCCAGACATCAAGACATTAATGGAGAGAATTAAAAAAATTGAGGAGAGACAAGAGGAAAATAGGAAGGAGCTGTTGTCAGAAATGACAGCAGTAAAGAATACTGTGATGGAAATGAACAACAGACTAATAAGCATGGAAAGCAGAATCAGCCAAGCCGAAGAAAGAATCTCAGAGCTTGAAGACCAAAACACAGAACTAACCCAAACTGTCAAAAGCATAGAAAAGAAGCTCAAAAAGACAGAACAAAACCTGCAAGAGATG